CGTCAAAGATCATCAAGTGTGATCACTAGACATCCTGTACGATTAGTATAAAATAACTATTCCAGCTAGTACGATCCACATTGTCCTGTACGATTATGTTAAGTATTTGTGCTGATCATTATGCATAATCTACAATTGTACGATACGATTAGTTCAAGATACTATATGGATTGTCCAGTACGAAAGGAGACAATGGGCGACAATTTAAATATCATCCTATACATCCCTCTGATCATCTAGGATTATATCCCTACATAATTAGAAGAAAATCATGGTTTTTCATTTGGGATGTTGCGGGATGATAAAGTATAGATCATCCCTTGTATCTCTCGGGTCGCCAGTACAATTATCACCGATCATCCTATACAATATGATCTAGTTATTTTACCATAATTAATTTTCTAATCATATGATCAATTTAAGCATAATTGTCATAAATTATCCAGGATGATTCACATTGGCTTGTACAGTTTGAACAAAATTTAAACATTAAAATATTGCCTAAATTATGATTGATGGCTATTTTTCATTATCGTAACTGATTGTCTCGTATGATATGGATTGTATAGTACAATTAATTTAATAACTCTTAATTAATAGAGGTGCCATAATTATGGTTTTCTATTTTAACTATCATCTAGTACAATATAAATCATACTATATAATATAAATCGGACTCTACGATGAGTTCAAAATCCAGAAATTACATTAAGTCACTAACTTACTCCCTTGAGTGTGTGTGTATGTGTGCAAGGTTATTCAACTTAGTGTCCATCATATACATGATTTGACTCCAGAAAGAAAAAAGTACTTGAAATTGAAATTACAGACAGACTCAACTCTAATCTACTCAATCTTAAGCTGATTGACATTGCTAGTAAACTTGTGGACCTAAAATATTAGTGAGTAGGGCAATAAAATTGATATGTAAGAATAACAGTAATAATGAAATAATAATATTTTTTTCATCAAAATTATAGTACTTGGATCCAATTTTACAACAATAGCTCTAATTGTCTCTCTCTCTCCCCCTCTATCTCCTCTTCCTCTCCTCCTTTATTTCCCAACAAGGAAAATGAAATAGGGAGGGGGATTTATAGGAATGTTGAGGGATATTTATATTAAACATATATAAAAATATAATTTAGTATTTGATATTGTGATGCTACATACTACAACACTGCTGTGTTGTATGCAATAATTCAGGTTTATATAAATCAAACATCAGAGCATCATTATGCTCTTTAGGACAACACCAAAGCATTGTCGTTTAATTTTTCATCTTTTCAATATATATATATATATATATATATATATTCAGGTTACTATAAGGTGACACTATTTTGAAGATGGAAGTCGCACATTAGTGGTGGCAATTGTTAAAGATGGTCATAAGTGCAATCTTCGGGCTATTTAATAGAATCTTTAGTGATCTTAACTCTTGTATCCCCTTAAGCTAGAAAGTAAGGAACTATTTATAACTTTTTTTGAGAGTGTTTCTTTGATAAATTTGATTAAAATTAAAATAAAACATGTCAAACAATCCTTACTGATCCTTTGGATCATAAATCATTTATTCAATATTTGAGTTTCTTAATGACCTCATAATTGAATTATATTAGGCTCATTGAATTCATCTCATTGAGCTGGTCAATTTATTATAACTTACATGAACATAATATTTGGAGATAGTTTGGTTATTTAAATATATATATATATATAATTAACATAAAGCAGCTCAATATACTTTTTCCCATAGCCCAATATTATCGATATTAATATCCAAATTAAAATATTGCATGGCAGTTAACTAATTAAAATAAATGTAATGACTTGTAAAGAATAAAGGAAGTATTAAAAGCTTGATTTTTAAGGTTTCAATGTTTATTTGATTTTAAGGTTATTGCTTATACCTTTGAAGTCACTTCATAGAGAGTTCAGATGAATCACATAACATATGCTATCATAAGTTCACTTACACTTAACTTTCACATTTTATTACAGTTTACCTAAAATTTCAGAAATAACTAACATTCAGTTTAGAATATTGCTTACATTTAATCAATTAAATGATTAAAATATACAAGGCAATGATTACAATCCATATGTCATGATGCTTGCTTATAACTTCACTTCCACTTATGTTCCCATTAACCTTCCTTTCCTGGATCGAGCAAATGAGGCCATAATCATAACATAACAATGCCACATAACCTCCCACACTTACTTTCAACAAGTGGGATGAGCAGGTCTCCCATATATTCCACACTAGACAGATGGGGCTATAATAGAATATATATAGCTCTTGAAACATATAAGAGTATATTTTTTCACATATCATAATATCTCCAATGCCATACTATGAACAATGCAAATGCAATATTAACTAAGTTATAAATTCAATGCAGTACACTAATAATTTATAAATTACTTGTAAAAATCTACAATACTTGTATATTATCATACACACTTATTTTTTCTTGTTTAAATTTCAACTTCGGAGAGATATTTGCATAAATATTTTAAAATGCTTATACAATTATTATAATTGCTAGAAAAGCTTAAATCCATTCATATGTTTAAAAATTTGCATAGAGAAAATTAGCTAGCGAAAATCTAAATTTTTAAGTTAAAATGTTTGAAATAAAGCATATAAAAACATATCAAAAGTTTTACAGTGAAAATATTATCAATTTGATAAAAAAATACATTTTTATCCATAATGTTTTATAAAACCATTGAAATTGAATTAGAGATTAGGATTCAAAAGTCTTTATTTAGCTCAACCATATCCTAAACATGCATGATGGACGAATTCCATGTTTTGACCTCCAAAATCTCTTTCATTCTTTCTTCCATTCTCCTCATCCATTTCCTCCTTCATTCTCCAACAAAATGGCTGGGAGTTAGGGTTAGTAAAATGATTTAAGATATATTATATATAAAAATTAGAATTTTGAATTAGCATCATAGTGCTCGCCTTCCCACCATCATTATGCCCCCAGAGAATCTTCTATAATTGATTATTACTATGAATTTGACAAATGTATTGTTAAGAATGTGTGTAAAAACATATAATAATAATAATAATAATAATAATATTACATTGATTATTACTATACATTTGACAAATGTATTATAAAATTAAATTATATTGTTACTGTGTAATTGATAAATTCATTGCTAAATTACTCTATCATTCTTCTCTATCCCTCTATGTACTATTAATGTGTACTGCTATGTACTGTTACTATGTATCACTGTCTTGTATCGCTGATCTGTACTACTATTTATAGCTACGTCCCACTACGTACCCTTATTTATGATCGGTAGTTGTAGATTTTCATCTATTTAATCAGGGTTGTTGTAACATTTAAGGTATTTAAGGTTGGTGGTCGTTGCTTTTCAGTTTTGTTTTTTTAAAGATGGGAAGTTATAATATTGTAAAATTACTGGGTAGTTATAACATTTGAGCTATTTAAGGTGTATCACAAGTTTCCTCCAACATATGTGTATCATTATAAGCTTCTCGATTATGATCTATCAATTGCATTGGTTGGGTGGTGAGATATCTCAAGGTATGCGGACGAAAGACTTCATGGGCATGTCCACCAATAGGATGCACGAATGTATCTCAAGGTGTTTTGACGATCCACTTGAGTAACTAATAAGGGAAAATGAAATATACATAAATTGTGTGTATATATGGTATTAACGATGTGATTATATACTCAAAATTTTGTATGGAGAGACGATGGCGGTAGAGGGAAACAATAAAAAAAAATTTCTCAATTATAGAGCTAGAGATGTGTGGAAAGTAAGTTTTTTTTTGTAAGCTCATTATATGTGGTTAATAATTTCAGGTGCAGGGCCTCCAGCTTGAAGATCTTTCTGCCGCGTTCTGTAGCTTTTTCTTTTGTAGCCTGTACGGCTAGTGTAGATTTCTCTTTTGACTGTACTGTGACTGTTGTACTATATGTGAATTATAGTATCCGCTGCTGTTTCTTTTTTGTAATGTAATTATCTCTGGCTCTGGATATATGTATGTATGGAATGATATGAGGAAACCGATAGAAAGAATAGAAAAAAAAAGAAAGGAAAAAAAAGAGGAGGCAATAGAACGATCAGATGAATCCTTTCGCTACACGGATCTTGGGGTTGTTACATAGACTAGTAACAAGTTTACAAGATGAACAAAAATATCACTGAAAAAGTTATTTTGACTTATCATTCGAATGAAAAAGAGTATACAGTGGTACACAACAGTGTATAGTATACAAAACCTATTTCTAAACCCTGTGAGAAAACATTTTACATCAACATGCAAATATTCTAAAACCCTAAATATAAACTTTAACGACTCTATTGTATAAGAAAAATTATTACATGACATTTACAAAACAAATTGAACCAATATATCCAGTGATAAAGTACTTATTTCCTGGGAACATAAAACTGACCTTAGGGCATCTCCAACCGAGAATCTCATTTTTCACTCCAAAATACAGCGAAACAAAAAAATGCCGTGTTTCATCTACAATCGAACTCCATTTTACCGCTTAACCGTCGCTTTGGCGCCTTTCTTCCGGTTCGGTAGAGAGAAAAAAAATGGCGGAGATGAACAGTGCGACGCCAATATTGGCGTCACACTGTTCATCCGCGATCAAATGGCGGCAAAAATGGCGATCGGTTGGAGCAAAGCGAGAACGGCAAACAAGTGTTTGCCGTTCGGTTGGAGATGCCCTTAGCCATCGCTCCTGCGACGAAAATCTCGGGCAAAACAAGGAGCTTTGAAAAATCAAAAGCGCCTGAATCAAGAGAAATTGAAATGCCTCATTTTTGAGTTTTCCACTGAACGCCTCGGCTCTCATAGTAAAAAGTCATTTTTTGGTTCTAGACCTGATTAAATGGGAAAAGATAAACAAAAAAGGGTCGGGACTTCGGGTCGTTGGGTCACCAAATGGCGGCATTATATATTACGTTAGCTCCGGAGGCAGACCAAATAATTTCTCGTGGTTTGAGGCGTTGGCTAAGCTGTGGTTTTCCTTCGTTATCACGACCTCGATGTCCCTCTCTATCAAGCTCTCTCGCTAAGCGAACATCCAATAATTTGAAAGAGAATTCGTAGAAAGAAGAGGAGGATAAAGCCGATACTAAGATTCGGATCTGTCTGCACTTCTTTCGACGGCAAGCTCGATATAGACCTGAAGCTCTTTCATGTGATCCCATTTCCTGTGTTTTCTCGACGTTTTAAGCCCTTTGGATGAAGTACGCAAGGCTGTGAAGGAGGAAAGAGGGAAATGTTATATTTGAAGCAGCCAAGGGGAAGTCTACGAGTCAGGCGGCTGGAGTAGCCTTTGATCCGGCGGGATCTGCATGCTCAAGTGAAGAGGCCCGAGCCTGGAGCTCGGGAACGGCCTGTTGCGTTATGGAGGCAGCTGATGTCACGTTGGTAGCTGATAGGATAGCCAGTGAGCCTGGCCCCGGCAGGTGTTACCTGCAGAAGTTCAGTCTCTATGAGACCAGATCGGTGAGGATGCTTACGCTGCGCTTTCTTACCATTCATTCCCTCTATCTTTTGTACCCTTCCTTGGTTTCCGTTTATGTTCTGTACTGCTTGACGTTGGAATACTGATGTGCAATCGTCTTCTTACAAACCTTTTGATCCGAAATTGTTTTGGATGTTGCGTGCGATTTTAGGTGAGTTTGATTTGTCTGGTTTCCTTTTCTGTAACTTCTTGCACGTTGAGGATTTCTAGTTGCAATTTTGGGCATTTTGTTATTAGTGTTAAGAGGTTGTTATCTGTCAAATGTCCTTGTGGGTCTACTAGATGTGATCTGTGCAGCGAAAATGAATGATTGGCGGTATCTTTAGGAAATTGGTTTTCTGAGCATTTTGTCCTTTTGGTGTAATCGAAGATGTCTTCATCATTTTCTGTACTCATGTTCCTCCTTGTTGCTTCCAATCAGTGGTAGCTAATATGGAGGGTTTCAGATTTCCTGAAAAGCATAGTAGTTTCTGCTGCGGGCTTAATTTTATATAAACACATACATATGCCACTAGTGGATATATCGACAATGTTTGCTTGATACTATCACAGAAATTCTATATGATCGGAAGGGACAAGAATAGAACATCATGGAGAGTGTTAAAGGTTGACCGGCTGGAATCTTTTGAGCTTAATATCTGTGAGGACTCCACTATATACTCTGAGGGCGAATGCAATGATCTATTGAAGCGCATTCATGAAGGAAACAGGCCAACCGGAGGGTTAAGATTTGTTACCAACTGTTATGGGATTGTTGGTATGACGCATGTTTCTCTACTCTTTTGAGCCTGCATGTAGTTTGACGACATTTAGCTTTCTTAATGAACCTGACGTTAACATTGTCTATTTCAGGTTTTATTCAGTTCTTGGGGCCCTATTACATGCTGCTTGTTACTAAAAGAAGGCTAATTGGTGCAATATGCGGTCATAAGGTTTATGCCGTCACCAAGAGTGCAATTATAACCATTCCAAATTCAAGCGTTCGGGCCTCTATGGCTATTCCAAAGGCTGAAAACAGGTATTCAATTTATTATTCATGCAACCAAGTGACTTTAATTCAATTTGCATGCTTGTCAGTTTTGCATGGAATCTGACTGTGTCATACAATCGAGTTGTACTGTTGCGTCGAAGCTCAATTTCATTGGTCAAGCTCGCCGGGGGGTTGCAGGGGGTCCTCCCTCTGGTTGGGTTCAGGTGCTTTGCACTTGGAAAATTTTTCAATGCAATCATATAGGGCTGCGGTGTTGTGTACCTGAGCGCTGCGACGCTATACAATTTGCTTGGAGATAGAAAGAGAGCAGAGCGCTGCGATGCTATTAGGTAGACTGGAGACAGAGAGTGGAGTGTCGCAGCGTTCCAAACTTGGTACCATGGAGTTACGGGGCCGACTCGACAATTTTTTCTCCTTTTTCATGAAGGGTTGCATCCCTTGGTGGTTTTTAGTGTGTTTCTCTTTGTCTGTTTATGTATGAGAACGGTGTAAGAGTGAAGAGAGACAAGGAGAGATGAGAGATAAAGATATATGTACTAAGAGTGAATTTTTTGGTGTGGTGTGGCTCTATGGCTTTTTCACGTTTTTGAAATTTTTTACATTAAATCTTGACGTTCTTTCTTTTTGCTGCATTTTCTCTTTCTTGTTTTGTGTTTGCTGTGTGGTTTACTTCCCCAACAAAGCTGTCCAGAAAAATCCTTACAACCTCCCAATTTATCCTTGAACTAAAGAGAAAAGATGTTTAATAGTTATGGACAATCATCTTCTCTTTGTGTTTTCATCTCCAATCATTGTTTTGAATAGTCAGGCAAGTTGTTTTGGCATTTACTCTATTCTTTGGAATGCAAACCTGAAACGGAAAAGAAGAAAAAAAATGATCGTTTTAAATTGTGAGATTATGCAACTTTTATGCTACATTGTTTGGTATGAATTTAAGAGTTTTTGCTATTCTTATAGAGATGGTCAAAGTGCATTGCCCATGGTTGTGAAGCCAGGATGAAGGCGAACATGCACTATAGCATTTTCCTTCACGTGCTTAGTGCATAAATCAAAAGCATGATACATTGAATTTTTGTAAAACACTAGCTAAGCGGTGGTACTAAAGTAGGCCCAGTGTATATAGAACACACCAAATATTAGTTATTTTAATTTAACATTACCTAAAAATTTTATGATTGGATTACCATTTTTATGTGGGTTAACTATGCTAGAAATTGTTTATCTATGTGCTTCCATTACATCATCTTATTGGATTTAGTGCTTATTGTTAGTTTTGTATGGAATTTGATTGTGTCGATCAATCCTGCTGCACTATTTCCTTGGACCTTAATTTCATCGGTTGAGCTCGTCAGGTGTTTTCACCCTACTTGGGTTCGGGTGGTCAACACATGAAATTTTTTTCCGTACAATCGTACAGTGCTGAAATTTTGCAGCATTATATAGTTTGCTTGGAGGCAGTCATAGAGCGGAGCGTTGCGACGCTCTAGACCCCAGCGCTGTCAACCAAACTGGAGACAAAGAGTTGAGTGCCGCAGTGATGCGAGATGGGTTGAGCAGTTTTCTTTCTTAGTTTTCATGAAGGGTTGTGTTCCTTGGTGATTTTTGTATGTTTGTCTTTGTTTGCTTGTAAGAGAGTGGTGCAATGGTGAAGAGAGATAGAGAGAGAAGATAGATCTGAACAATTTCTTCCAAATTTTCATTATGAATTTTTTGATGTGGTGTGGAACTGTGTTTTTTTTTTTCCGATTTCGTATTTTTCCATGTTAAATTTGGGTATATTTTCTTTATGTTGCCATTTTCTCTTTTTGGTTTGTGTTCCTACGTGGTTTCACTGCCCCAACACTTATGTAGATATATGAGTTGTTTATGTTATCATTAGCAGCATCGCCTATAATGGTGCCTTCGATAGTGATGCATGTTAAAGGGGGCCTCCTCGATGGACCTTTGTAGCATATCTATTCCAATGCCACAACCAGCCACGACATGATAGCACCTTATGCACATAAAATTTTCACTCAAGTTGCTTCGCTTTTATTCCTTTGTGTTCCACAAATGATGTGAAGCATCAACAAGTGGAAAACAATTGACGAATAGCAGTTATTTGAGAAATTGGCATCAAGCATTAGAAGTGTTCCTTTTCATGTCACAATTTTATAATGATTATTTTTCTCTATCTCAGGCGTCTCCATTTATGCTTGCTCGGTCTGATCTTTTGTTTGGCATTTATGTAATTTTCTTTTCTTCTAATGATGGTGTAGATACAAGAAGCTGTTGCGTACCGTGGATCTTACAAAGGACTTCTTTTTCAGTTACTCATACAATGTGATGCAAAGTATTCAGAAGAACTTATGCGATGCTAAGGCAGGGCAACTTTTGTATGAAACTATGTTTGTCTGGAATGAATTCTTGACAAGAGGAATTCGGAATCATCTTAAAAACACTGCTTGGACTGTTGCTTTAGTTTATGGTTTTTTCACTCAGGTAAGATTCTCAGATGTTGATACTAACAGATGCAAGTTGATTTCCTTTTTATGTTTTTATGAATTTGAAGAGCATAAAGTGCGTATGCAATTTTGATTGTACAATTGAAATGTGGATGCTACCAGCTCTAATTAGAATCGGAGAGTATAATTGCAAACCAACTTTTTTCTACAATATCCAAGCAAGATAATCTTGACATTACTATTGTTTCTGTGCCAATACTTCCCTGTTTGATTATTTTTTAGAAATATGATGAAGTTTCTCTTTTATATTTTATTTGAATTGCTTTTAAAATTATGATTGTTTGTAGAAACATCACCTTACGGCAATATGGCCACAGATTCACTGTTTTTGTTTTAGGTTCTTGTTGTAGGCTTGAAATTAGGCGGAGATTCAATGATATATCAATGCCCACCATATCTTTCTAGTGTTCTGACAAAATAAATTTCTTGATTCCAGGCTAAGCTATCAATATATGGGAAAAATTTTAGGTTGACACTCATTGCTAGGCGATCACGTCATTATGCTGGAACCAGGTTCTAATCAATTATTTATCTTTCATGTCCATTGTAGATTTGTGATAATTGTCCTCACATAATTGAGATTAGACGGGCCATTTGGCTAGTATTTATGACACGAGAATAATGCACATTTTCTCTTTGGACGATCTTTTGATAAAATGTGATTCTTTGGAAAAGGTATCTGAAGCGCGGCGTTAATGATAAGGGTAGTGTCGCAAATGATGTAGAGACAGAGCAGATTGTTTTTGAAGATGTTCCTGGAGAAAATCCTATGCAGATAAGTTCTATAGTACAAAATAGGGGTTCCATTCCCCTTTTTTGGTCCCAGGAGACATCAAAGATGAACATGAAGCCTGATATTGTTTGTGAGTGTTAGACATTCCTGTTTGCATGTTGAAGCAAAAATTGAAAAATGTTCTCTTAGTTTGACCTTTTATTTTCTTTCCTCAGTGCAGAAGCAGGACAAGCATTATGAAGCTACCCGGCTTCATTTTGAAAATCTTGTGAAGAGATACGGAAACCCAATCATTGTATTGAACTTAATTAAGGTATGCCACTTTGACTGTGATCCCTCTTTTTGTTTGTGGGACACATTATATCGACAGTTGCACATATAAATTGTTGGGTTTTCTTTTGATTTTTTATTTGTTTAGATATATTATTATTTTATTATACTTTCAGTTGTTTTATCTTAAATAGACACAAGAGAAGAAACCGAGAGAATCTATCCTTAGAGCAGAATTTGCAAATGCAATTGATTTCTTAAATAAAGATCTCTCAGAAGAAAGTCGTCTAAGATTTTTACATTGGGATCTTCACAAACATATGCGGAGGTAATCAGCTGCCATTGATCATCTTGTTATTCATTGAAAAATTTATGGTTGTATCAACATGATATGGCATGATTCAATACATTTCTAACTTTAACTTTAAAAATAATGTTCAGGAAGGCAACAAATGTGCTCCTACTGCTGGGTAAAGTGGCGTCTTATGCCTTGTATTTGACTGGCTTCTTTTATTTCCAAGTGACGCCTGTTTTGAGTCTTGACCGTGGTATCAGGCAGCCTGATGCATTGTAAGTATTCTATTTAATCTACACTCCAGGATTAAATTGCTTCTGCAGCTTGACTGTCAGTCAATTTCATCCAGCAGATGAATTTGAGTGGAGCTGAAATCAATTATGAACGCTTTTTTCTCATTTTTTTGTTAGCAAAAATAAGCATTTGGCAAGTTAGACAATATGTCATTTTCTCCTCTTGTTTCTAGAAATAATGTTCCATTAAATTGAAGATTACTTTCTAATCTTTTGTACTAACGGTGGGAAATCTTCTATATCTTCCACGTGTTAATCTGATGTCACATTGAAATTGTCATTAAGTTCCCAGGTTGTTCAAGTTGAATCAACTTGTCAGGCCTCGCTATCTTTTGTAGTATATACTAATAACACTTGAAGCTCAATTATGTATTTCCTTCTGTATAGTGCAAATTTTAGACTAGGCTTGAATTGCCAATTTGTCATCTTCATGGAAATGGCCAAAATCTCTTGCTCAACGAATATTTTCTGATTTTGAATATTTCCAAATAATTATGAGCCACCAATGCTTGCACATGAAAATATATGTTTTACTCTATGACATGAACTTGAAACATTTAACTGAATATGTTAGAAAATGTTTGCCTACCTTGTGCATGTCAAAAGAACATTTCTTTTTTGGGTTTATACTGTCATGGCATGGTCAATTTTGTAAAAGACTAAAGAGGTGGATCAGAGGATTTTCTACCCTAGTACACAGTTGTTGTGGGCCTCATATGTATTCTTCCACGGGTGTTTCATGTGAGTGTTGAACAAGTGCTAGGGTTAATGAGTGGAGGGAAGTAACATGTTTAGAAATAAATAGTTGTTCCAGTGCTTTTCTATCACACCGTGGGTCCGGAAGGCGGTACACCCCGGCAACACAGGATACGATGGAAAGACCTGTTTTGTATTCACAAAGAGAAAAATGCCTATACAACTGATACAACATGATATATATACACGAGAGTAAATAAAAGAAGTGAATTAATAAGCCAATTCATTAATAGAATACAATTAAATAGTACATCCAAGTAGCAATAATATTGATACAAGAAAATGAGTGTAGTAGGATGAATAATAGGAAAGAAACTATCCAACCCTAAAAAAAAATAAAATAATAAACTACTATAAAATATAAAATACAAAAAATAATCTACTGCTGATAAGTTTGTTTCTGAAGTGATGATCCGCTAAACACGCTGGCAAGTCCTGCTATAAAATAGATAATAGGTGAGTTTAATAAATCAAATTCAACAAGTAACTCATATCTATCAAAGCATAAACGACAAAGGACTAGGGCATGCGATGTGAACAATCAAAGGGTAAAAGTAACAATCTATAGCCACTATATCAAAATAGCCATGAGTTATGCTATGTTTATTATGACAGATTTTAATATGACAATGAAACCAATTTATATAATATATTCCTGCACACGTAATATCTTTTTAATGCAATCATGTTAAGTATCATCATACCCAAAATGACTTATCAATCATTTATTATTTCCAAATCATGTTCAATTATATTATTTAAACATTCATATGCATATAACTATAATTGGTTTATCAAATACCCTTTACAAGAAAGGTAAACATCAATCTAAGGAAATCCAATGATTTCCTATAGAGTCGTCACTCTTGGAGCCCGTCGACCCCGACTAACCAATAATTAAAAGGGTTCTACCGACATACTTATCAGTACACCTAAGCATATAATTTTCAATATTTTTATAAGCACTTTTCAATGAATTTTATGGTTTCAATATGATGAATATTCTTGCATAGTAAGATCTGAGTTGACAATATAGTGTTTATTGCTTTTAATTAGAGCATGTGCATGAAAATATAAAAAATTGATATACAGGAGGTTATGCAGCAATAAATCAAGAATCTTCTGTTTATTAAACTGGCTAACATTATGATCATATGCATGAAACAAAAGAATTTGCAGTAATATGGCTGACAGTGAAATCAATTATTAAAGCCTATTACAAATAATATGGATTTATGCCCTTTAACAAGGAAGGGTACGCTCACACTAAAATAAATAATAGTTACTTACATCTAGGAGAGTAACACGAAATTCAAGCCTACTAGATAATCAACTGACAGAGCCACGAGGGCAATGAATTGAAGGTACTACAAGCAGTGAAGCCAAATAGTTATAAGCACGCTCTTTGAAGCATTCGAGCTAATAGACTTAGTTACAACCACAATGTTAATAATAAGTATCACAAATATGTTATTTACCCTACAATCATGAATAAGAGCCGCTAAAAGAAGATATATGAAATCATGAAAGTATAGTTAATTAGGATTTAATGCCGCAAATCAAATCTAAACAATTCAAATAATAAAAAATATTAATATAGACTTACCCTTGTTGAATGATCTCAAATAACATGAAAAGGATGAGAAAGAAAGCTCAATCTCTATCTGAGAGAAGGAAGGAAGTAAGAAGGGAACCCTTCTCTAACAATGGTGTCGATTTAGGGAAAACACCACGATGAAGAGAAAAAAGAGTCGAGAAGTGACTTTGGTGGCTGTTGTGGAGAGAAAGAAACAAAGATGAAAGGTTGCAGACTGCTGATTGCGAGAGAGAAAAAATGAGGAAGGATAGGGAAGTGATATGGACGCTGCTGCAAGGAGGAAGAAAATTTGATGTCCTAGGTCTCCTAGAAAAAGGAAGGAAGGTCGGCGAGGCAGGAGAATTATGTAAGGTAGTTGAATCAATCATGAAATTTTCGTGATTGGAGGGAGGAGGGGAGGTATTCGTCTCGCTTCCGTGAGAGAAAGCCTACTTTTTTGTGCGATTAGGAGGAAGGAGTCAGGCTTGACTTCGGTTCGTGCATGATAAGGGAGTGGGAGGGCCAGTTTTGCATGAAACACCTGGAGTGGTCCGTCCAGGCTCAGTTATTACATTTTGATTATTGATATTCTTAATAGCATTTATGCAGTCCTCGTTGGTCCACGGTCTAAGCAAAAAGATAGACCCCTGCTTCATCATAGCAAAATGCCCTTTCATTTGTCATGGATTGTGCTGTTGTCCTCCTTATTCATCTTTTAACAAAAGGAGAGAATCGTCACTTCTCTCTTTTGTATGAGGCTATTACTTAAATCTCAAAGAGTCCAACCTAATAAGTCAACATTTTGTTGTTGTCTGGGTTGAACTAGTTCAGGGATTGGGTATGTTAGATCTTATTTAGGTCTGGTTGGATCAATAGTGTTATGTGCTGCATGACTTGAATTGTGACATGAAATCAATAGCTTTTTTGGGAAGAATATAGATAAAATCGCATTACTACTGCAAAGGGCCTATGTAGGTCTCATAGTATGAAATCCCTTAAGAAAGTGAAGCTAAATTCTTAAATATTGAGGCGTTTTTCGGTGTAATGGTTAGAATTTTATTAGAAATTACAAATTTTGCTCGTACAGGAACACTTCTAGAAGGTGACCTCATAGTAAGTTACACCAATGTGACAAAACCGTGAGACCATTAGGCCAAAGTGGATAATATCTTGATAGTTAGGAATTTGAACTATTAGAAATGGTATCAGGGCAATGCACTAGCTTAAAGATGACAACTAAGTGTTTCTATCTGCTCGGTGGATGATTATGGGCCAAGGATACTGATGATGACGTCAATCACTTAAGTTGGGGAGATTATGAAACTCTAAAGAAAATAAAGCTAAACTCTTAAATGTTGAGACGCCTTTTTATGTGACGGTTGGAATTTGGTTAGAAACTCTAAAGTTAAGTATGCTTATAAAGAAGTACTCCTAAGATGGGTGAGCTCCTGAGAAATTATACCAATTTGATAAAACCGTGTGGCCATTAGGCGAATGCAGACATCTTGATAGTTAAGAGCTATGATGCACAGACACGGACACGGCGACACGGGTACGACACGACACTTGTCCAATTTGTATTTAATATTTTTTTAATCGGACACTTTTTTGGCGTGTCCGACACGTGTCGGAGGAGTGTCGGACGAGTGTCGTGTCGAATACATGTCGGACACTGCACGCCTTTTTGAGGAAAAGTGTCGGTGCATCATAGGTTAAGAGTTTGTGCCCCTACACTTAGTGGGGATAGAAAGGAGGTGGTGGGATGGGATACGGAGTGTGCTGTAGTTTAAAGCTTTATTTTCTCTTCTCACTACCTGGGAAAGAGGCGCATATGGTCGTGTGAGCATGCTATTTTTGCTTTGCTATCACATGGAGTTAACTATTATATGTTGCTTGCCTTCTGATCAGTTAACCAGATTGATTGCCAACTTTTCCTATGCTGGGATGAATTTTCTTGTATAGATTGCTCAGCTGATCACTCATCTCTCATTGTTGACAACCTTTTAGGAGGATCCGTGTGCAATTCAAAAAGTAGCATCCAGGTTACACGCTGGTCTTAATTTGCAACACTTATGCAGCATACACTATTTACTGTCACTCTATTCGCATATAGAGGCTGATGATTGCCAAGGTTTCTTTGTGATTGTTGCTGTGATAATCAATTTGTGGGAAGCAGGTTGCTCTATCCAGCTTTGTTTTTGTGCTTTGAAATTTGTTTGTGGTTTATTTAATTTTAAAATTTATTATAACTTCCCTTAACCTTTATTGAACTTATGCCTTTCTTCTTTTTAGATTTGGATCTTTTGGTTGTTGAACCGAATCTTTTGATGTTTGAGGTCTTATTCTAATAAAAAAATTCTGAATAATAAGACACTCAAAACCACTACTACAGAGAAATAGGAATTGTTATGTTTAGTAATTTGTAGGTAGTCAAATTGAGCTGTTCGTTGCATAATATCTGCATTAGTCTTAATTCAGGAAGACATACTTATTTCGTCTGTATGGAATAGTGTGGATTTGATAGTGAATGATTTTTTTATCAAATGAACAATTTTTTCTACATTTCCATCCTAGTATTTGTTTAGCCTCAAGTCTATGGTAAAATTTAGCATGGATATTTTCTCATGAAGTGTTTGATCCATATTTGATA